ACCAGCAGTGTCAGCAGGGCCATGCAGGACACGGCGCAGCCGATCATCAGTGGCACCGAYGGTGTCCCCGAGGGGTCCATGGCCTTTTGGGGGTGACATTGGGGGGAGCGGCTGAGCCCATCCCCCCGCTCTGGCTCCCTGCCAGCCCCCCGCCCCTCACTGGGGACCCTCGGGTGGCAGAGGGGGCGGGTGGCGCTGGTGACACAGCCAAGGCGCCTTCCCGGGGACCCGTGCCCGTCTCCATGCCAACGGGGGACGCGGGCGGAATAGCAATGGGGCGGGGGGCCCGCGCTGCCCCCTCCCCTCCTGGCACACGGAAATGCGCTGAATTGAGCTCTGTCCACCACAAACCCACCCTGCTGGGCGTGCTGGGGGTTCTGGGGGTGCTGGGGGCGCTGGGACCCCTCCCCTGCCTGACCAGTGCCCACCTCGCCTTAGCAGGAACCGCTCCCTGCCCACCCCCCATCCCCTCGGGATCCCCCCTCCCCATCCCGAGGGTCCCCAGCCGGCTCGGGGCTGTCCCCACGCTGTCCCCTACCAGGTCTCGGGGCAGCTGGGCGAGGACGGCGAAGGTGGCGAGCTGGCGGCACTGGCATTTGGTGTGCGCCGGGAGGGTCTCCAGGGTTTGGCAGCTCTCCGTGTCCCAGTTTCCCAAGCCAGCATCGCTGATTAATGGGGAGAGAGCAATTTGAAATGATCAAACACGCGCGCCTTTCCAGGGTTAACCCCTTCCTGACCCCCGCCGGGGGGTGGGGAGGCACTGCCAGGGGACCCCCGGAGCTCGGGGAGGGGGTGAAGCCATCCCTGACCCCCCGAAGAGCGAAGGATTTAGGGTTTATCATCCCACGCGGGTTTGGGGCGGGAGAGAACACCACGGGGAGGGGCGAGGGCAGTGCCAGGATCACGCCAAGAGCCCCCTGGCAGCCCTGTCCCCTCCCAAGGGGGTGATGATTCCCCCTCCCTCCATCCGAGGGGTCCCCTCCTTCCATGGGGTCCTCTCCCACCACGGGGATCGCCCATTTGGGGACCGTTCCTGTTAAAGGGACATCTCCACTATGGGATCCCCTCCTGTTATGGGGACCACTCCGCCATGGGGACCCTTCCGGTTATGGGGACATCTCCACCATAG